TGGTACAATACCATGTGGACAAATTCGTCCAGTCCATTCCGAAGACCAATTTTGCCGACGACAAACTAGCTTTTGGTGCTCCATTCGAAGCCGCGCTGATTGAATATATCGTCAACGCAAAGAAAAATCCAGAGACCAAGGTGGTGGCTTATCAACTTGAAGAATCACTGAAAAGTCTCATTAAAAGACTGAACGCAGACGATATGTCCAAGTCCATTGGTGAGCGACTAGAAACAGGTATCCGTGGTGATGGCATCAGCAACAGCAAGGAGAACTTGGTGAATGTGGTTAAAGTACAACCGGTGCAGAAGTTGTCTTCACAAGAGGAAGTGATAGGCAAGCCGGTTATTTTGCTGTCTCCCATTCTTGACAAACAGGAGAGTACAGCATATAATCTACTCAAGAAAGTCGGTCTTGACGAAGTAGAGATGGATATTTTCAACAGCGAAAAGTTCAAGCAGTGGTCTGAGGATGTTGCGTATCATTTCCCATTTGATAAAGACGAGGGCGCTGGTATTATGTTGAAGACATTGGCGAAACTTGACATGGTTAAATTGCTCACCTCCATTTCGACTGCTAAGGTTGAAAACGGCGAAGTACCATTTGGTAATCACTTCAAAGATGCGCTGATTGACTACATCGCCGTAGCCAAGGATACCGATGATTTTGCTGATAATCTCGAAAAAGCGCTTCTCGATCTCGCTACCAATTTGATGAGTGGAAATAACCGGATAATTGGTCAAATTTTGGAAGGTGAAGTTCTTATTTCTCGCATCATCAAGAACAAGAAAAATCTCGTTGACGTGTTTCAAGAAAACAATGTGCGGACTTGGTACTCCTCCGTCTTCGTGAATGGTCAGGAGCGTGCGTCCGTCGTGTTAAACCTCAGGTTAAGTCAGCAAGGAATCACAGACAAACAAATTGGTGAAGCGATTAGCAAAGACCTTGACAAATTCACTATGGATGCGATGGGTGGTGTGGTACTTCGCAGACTATCGTTACTGTTGGATAATCACAAGATGGATAGTGTGACCTCTATCAACACTTTTCTCGAAACTTGGTTTCAACAGGCCTTGGTATTAAATGCTGACGCCGATCTTGTGTTGCCCAAATTGCGGGATGCTTTCAGTGACAACGAAATTCTATCGTTTTGTACTTCGCCAGAACTTTATGGTGATGACTTAAAAGCGTTTGTGCAAAAAATGCTGAATGTTTTTATCCATGAATACGATAACTTAAGTGACGTTGATGTGCTGAATGGTTTCGATTTGACAAGTTTTACTTTGGAAGATCCAGAGGTGAGATTTTGGATGTTGATTATGAAAGATCGTCACAAAGAAGCAGCGGATAGCGAGATGGCCGGTATAATATTTCCTCTTTTCTCGAATGATATCTCGACATTAATCGCTGCTGGACAAAGTAACGGTAACTCTGACATTAAATCTCTTTCGAAAAGTCTGAAATTGATGTTAGAGAAAAGTCAGATTTCTTCCTAGTTCTTTCACATAAACGTTATAATATACCTGCTAACAGTGATACTTGAAATATTTTTGTTTTGCTTAAATTATCAAAAGAGTTAGATTGCGCTTATTTAATTATTATAGTAATCATAGTATTATTACTATAGTATGTCATCATGGTACCTTGTATGTTTAGGTTATCTCAAATGTACACGTACACCATAGGGCGAAAGTGAGAGTGATGGTCAAGAGTCTTAAGATTGGAGAGTAACATAGAAAGTGCCGTACTATGGTGTGTTACACATAACACTACTCCCTGCAACCAAAGAAACACTCAGAAATATTAATGTAGAGTACAGCGAAGAAGTATCATGGCTAGTACTGGTACGTTAACAATTTGTAAAGGAGAGATGTGTGGGACACGTGAACCACAGCCTCACTTGGTCCATCACGTAGGATTTACTCTTGTTTATAGTAACACAGATACATTAAGTATCCTATCAAGCTATAAGTAACTCTAAATATAGATTATTCTTTGCAAAAAATAGGCAACAGAGATACCTCAAATGTTTACGATTTTGGTCACCGTCGGACTGGTCCCCGTCATGCAGCGGAACTGCCGAAGCTTATCCACTTAGAGGAGGCTTGGTTAATGTCGGTGACCTTCGTTCGACTCAAGGCTAATTAACTCTTCCGATTTAAACGTAAACTGTAGTTCTCGATGTTTTTGTGGCAAAGACTCCTTTATCTAAATCTATAGGTTTTCCTACCTATATAGAAAAAAATATTTAAATGTATAAGTACTGGCTATGAAAGCAACAGAATGACGTATTGTATATGTGTAACCACAACATTGTGTGGTCACACCATCTTGTGCGACCCACACCATATTGTGGTCACACCATCTTGTGCGACCCACACCATATTGTGATCACACCATCTTGTGTGACCCGCGCCTTCATACTAGGGCTCGTGAAATCACGTTACACATCCTCTGTGCGTTGGTTTACATGGACCAAGCTACTTCTGCGCGAGGTGCACGATAACTCTAATGGACATAATAGCACTAGGCTTCGATTTCTCGACCGGTTTTTAATCCGTCTGTATCTTCGGTGGTGAACCACGATGTTCAACTCCCTGACGTCGTGGAGCACGACAGGCTTAATCGCTTCTGACCTTTGTTGGTCCCATTCATTCGGTCAAGAAACGCAGGACAGCTCTAGGAACGATCACAAAAGGATCCTATGATACAGCTGGCGACCAGTCTGTGAAAAGTTCGAGTAGAGATATTTTTTGGTTTGTACAGGTTTGGTCATGCATTGGACAGAACAACAGCCCGTCATACTAACTAGAAAGTTGTGCGCAATATTAGGCACCAACCAGCAGGAGCTCCAAAGAAACGGTATACACAATTTGCTTGTTGAAAAAAAAGAATCTATAGGCGTGTACGCTGCCGAATTAGGCGAAGCCCGTGATCACGATATTATCTGACCGTCGAGGTAAGCAAAACTTTGCCGGATCTGTCTAACCGTTAGGGACTCATATAGTTTAAAAGGCGGCAGATCAACTATAGTAGAGGGTAGTTATTGTAATTTTCATGAAGGGTGGTCGACTAAGTACGCCTCCTATGTCCAATTATTATCGAATAAAAGGTGATGGGCGTGCGTTGCTACCATACTACGAGGACCGGTTGGAGTGCAAAATGTGAGGGTCGTTTGAGCACGCCAAAAATCGATGGGCCTCAGCCGAGCTTAGAATGACGGAGTCAACCTCATGGCTACCGCGTTATTTGCAGATGCTGCACATGAAGTGCTTCTACTCTGCATGCACCTTTTCTCTCAGTTGATAAATTAAATGAGACATGGTCAATCTCAAGTTCTTTCCAGTAAAAATGACTAATTGCTATAGGCGTAGGGAGGCCTATCGATCGTTTGTATCTCGTGGCGGGTAGTTTGATGAAATGCCGCCCTTAATGTCGCAAAATTATCCAAAAGACGATGTGCTCATAGACTAGAACGTCAAGAGCTTTCAAAAGCATTGTTAGCTCATCTGGACTCAGTATTGTTTTGCTGTAACGGTCATATACAACAGACCGTACGCGTGAAAATTGAAGATAGAGGGTATGGATGCTTTTTCCGCGCGTTTTGTAACAAGAATACTAAAAATTATTTCCTAGCCATTATATATTCCGAAGACTTTGTAGATTGAACGTTGCCTGGAGTCGGATTTCAAGTTCACTTTCAACAAAATATGATATACCTGATAATCGTTAACTTTAATCAAAGTCGAGAACATTAGGTGTCATGCACTACTCTCCGTATGGGGCTTTGTTAAGGCCGTAACCCCTCCGCCAAAAAACTGCGCTCTGTGAGGCCATGAAGCTGCAATAGCTTTAAGGCAAATCTTGCGATCGCTGGATGCAGTCTGTGAATTTATAAGAAGAAGCCAAAACGCAAAAGCGGCAATGAGTTCCTTCAGCATTGCAAGATGTTCGGAGCAGCGCTCGAAAGTAAGGCGTGGCAGGATCCTAGAACATTGTGTCGTGAGTTCCAGTTTGTTGATGGAGTAGTATTATTGTAAGCTTTTCGCCAGATATTTCATCTGTAGAGTCAATCAAAGAATCGCGTTCTCCCCGCTCTGATACGTACAAAAAAGTTCAAGTGCTTTTTTGCCACGGTCGTTCTCGACACGGCTTGGTTGACACAAATGAATATTATCCAGTCGAGATGGACAAAGCCTGGTGCATGAATGGTCTATTCTTTACACAACCTCATGATATCGCTCAGTTAGCGCTAACCTACAAAGCATTCAATATTTGGAGCAATAAATATTCACGTGCTTTACGAAAGCCCTTTTTATTGGTATATGGAGCAGCATAGATAGCTGCAAGCGATTTAAGGACATCGCCATTGACTCTGATGGTAGTTCGTTGACATAGAAGATCGGCTATTTGGGGGATCCAACTGATCTTTTAATTCACTTGTTATAGAATACAACCTGCTCTTTGGTCTTTCACAAGAACGCGGAGTTCGACAGAAATTGATAGTGAATGTTGTTCAAAGTATGCAGTGCTTCGACAGTGGCCACTGTCGCGTGAGCAAAGTGAGTATATCGATGAGTTCTTTGCTCAAAAATAAGCTGCTGGTTTGGTGAGGGGGAGCAAATCCTCTCACAGAAAGCGTGTGTACACGGGAGGGCAATTTCCGTTACACCATCTCACATCGAGTACTCGTCACAATGAGAGCAATACCGCTAGTTCTGTAACGGGGTCACATGTACTCTGGTACAAAAAGGTGGGTCACCCATTCACTGGTATGAAAGGGTGGGTCACACAAGATGGTGTAATCACACAATGAGAAACCACTACGTGGCGGGACTGCCAGTAGTTATGCATATTATCTAGGTTTTGCTATTTGATCGGAAAAAACTGAAATAATTTGATATAGGCGGCTCTGCCGCAAATAAAACAATTATTAACAGTTTGCAATTTTAAACGGAAGATTGTGTTTGCCTTGAGTTAAGGATTTGGGTACTCTTGGAGGTAGCGGATTGCGATAAGCTACACTCAAACTGATTCTAGTATAGAACGCAAATTTGGTGACCTTAGTACGCTTTCATTGAGCAAAGAGCAACAGCTGTTCCGTTGCACTTGGTAGCACTTGTACTAAATACACTATTGAGTTGTAACGACGGATCTCTTGTGAGGAAGGAGGAATACTCATTTTTGTCCGAGGGTATGTAGGACGGGCTTAAGAAGCTGATATCCCTACTTGGTCCTTAGGGCGTGCAGTTCCTTGCTTCCCAGGGATCTGAAGCGATTAGCGCGCGCCTAGAGACGCTTTCAAGCTACGGAAATGCTCTGCTAGAGCACTTAGAGCAGAAGATGTTGGCGTTGACTACGTCCATGATGCCACCGTCGACGACGGATGACTCATCACAACCCAAGCCGCTCATGGCGAGCGATAATACGTTCGAGATTAAAGATGAAGAGAATATCATGATCTGGGTGAGAGAGGTCGAGATGGCTATAGCATCCGCCATGCTCCAGAACGAGCAAAAGAGCGTGACGCTAGCCATCTCCAAGCTCTAAGGCCGAGTGCGAGAAAGCGCACTGACGTGCGGCACTTCGGTTGTGGCGTTTCCTCCTGAACGGAGCTGAAGTTGCGGCCTTTACGGGTGTTCTCGCCGCCTAACCAGGCATATCGCGTGCAATCGATTTTCCTGTCCGCCCGACAAGGCAGGAAGGAGTTGGAAGACTTTGCCCAAGAGTTACATACTCTCATTGCCGGGATGACTGCCGATCCTCTCCCCGAGGCGGTCACAGTGACCTTCTATCTTTATGGAGGGCATTCGCACTGGCGTGGCTAGAATGAAAGTCTTACGTGTGCATCCGTCTTCTTTTAAAGAAGAAGTGATGTAGCATTGAATGCTGAAATCAACTTTAAGTCGGCAAGACTTGATTGGGATGCACACCCTCAGAAACGTCGAGCGGGCCTGAGCTAATGGATCTCAGCTATGCTGAGAAAGACGGGGGAGAGCTCCAACCTGCCGGGCAGCGGTATTTTGTTCTGTAGAGACAGAGTAAGGCGCGCCAAGGTTCATCTTATCGGCCTTCCGCTTCAAGGTCCATCTGATCGGTATCCCGCTTCTCTTTAATCTGGATTGTCGCGGACAAACAATAACACCCATTGGGCGCAGGGTATCCTACTGGAGAAGGACTGAGTTCTGTTAAGTCTCAAAGCGGTAAAGGGCAACAGGGCCCAGCTTCGAAGAGCTCCGTGCTCTTGAGGTGACAAAAAATCTTATGTGAAGCAGGTGTGTGAGTTGTCACTTCAGGTAGAGTAGGACAGAGCACGACGAAGAGCGGAAGAGGAAGAAGTTGGGTAAACCCACGTATGAGTGTATCTCACATTATCTGTACACCTTGTGTAGCTATATATCCCCTTTTAACTGTATTGTATCAGAACTGGAGGCTCTTATCAGGTTAAGGAGGCTCAAAGATTATTGATTATAATAGTAAATGCAGTAAGTAAAGGGCCAACTGGAAGCGCGCAACACTCGGTGGGGTATGTCAGTTGTCCTTAGCTTCTCTTAGTAAATGTGTGTACACGGATGGGCCTTTCCCGTTACACCACTTAATACCATAATACATGAAACTCGAAACAATGAGAGCAATACTGCCATTTCACTAGATAATATCTATCAACCAGGTCAAGGGTACTGAACAAATGTAAAATGTGTGCGTCAAAGTTCTGTGTCGCCACGTGCTTGCCTTT